CAGTTCCCACTGAAGCGCAAATAGTCAGATCCCTGCTGGCCTAACAGCTAGGCAGGAGACTGAAAAAGACATTTTCTTTCAAGTGTTGTATTCTTGAAGGTCTAAGAACTAGAATCAAGCCTTCCAGTTATTTTAAATTTTAGCTATTTACCAGGAAAAAGATAAACATCCCTCTGATTTCTTTAAATGTTTAATAGAGGCACTGGTAAGACATATTTCCTGAGATGCTAATTAGAGGGACAGATTATTCTTACAGATAAGTTTAAGAGCTACAAAAGATAGCTTTTGCTCCATACTACTCATTTGATACTTTGGTAAAAACTGTTTAAGTGTCCTATAATTGGAACTGGGAGAAAACCAGGAAGAGAAAACAAAGAGACAAAAAATGGCTGTCTCAAAACAGACCCTATGTCTGATTCTCTTGGCTCCAAGAAGAGCTCAGTGATGATGAGGTTCATTTGCTACTGCTGTTAGAAGACAGGCTAGCATAACAGGGACTACCTTAAGAGGCCCACAAGCCATGACCTGACTGCCAAGGCAGCCACTAAAAGTGAGACTGCACTCTGAAGTGGAGGCCGCAGAGCTCAGACTCGGCTTCCCAGATGGTCCAGTAGGACTGAAGGGCCCTGGGCCTGCCTCCTCCCTCTGGCCAGACAATCTCTACCTGTCATCTCCACGAAAGAGCCCTGAGTAATCATGACTAGAGAAAAACCCAGCCTATTACTGGACATTGGCACAGGTCTCTTTATCCTTCTCCAAACTCTGATTTTCCTTCTAGTCATGGTACATCAATAGAAAGACTTTGAAAGACATCTTGCTTTAGGTGTAACTGAGGTAATACAATATATTCAGGTTGCTAACTAATCATAATTATGCTAAGACTAGTTTTTACAAATGTAATATATATTGTTCTTGTACAAGACTTAAAATGTATTTCATTGGTTTAATCTGACTGAATGCTGTATATTTCAAAAGTATGTAAGTGTGGTTGATTTCTGATGTAATGCAGGTATTTCATGTTGATAGTAGATACAGGTGTGACCTTTCAGATTATTATATTTCTCAAAAGTAACATTAAAGCTCTAATTTCTCAGATAATTTGTTCTTTCCTAGAAGATACCAAAACCTATGTAATCACAAAGGTAAAATCTAAAACCAAAAAGTTATATCTTGCTCAGTGAGCCCCAGATATCTGACATAAGCTGCAGAAGTTAGAAGAGTTTGCAGGAATGAATTTGTCTGAGTTGAGGTGTTTCATAGTAGAAGGGATACAGAATGAAATTATAGACGAAAAATGAGAAAAGTGATACTAGCAGCCTATAGGAAAGAAGGCCAGTCAGGAAATGGGAAAAGTTATGCTTTCCTGGAACCAGACAGAGAGAAGGGACATTTCAAGCAGAAATGTCCAAAGCTGCTAGAGAAGGAAAAAGAAAGTGTTTATGATCGAGTCAGAGGAAGTTTTCAGATTGAGGTAGTCATGTGTCTTCCCTCTCAGTCTGAGGGAACCCATGTTAATCACCAATATAAGGAGAAAGCCTGTCAAATTTTTAATAGATGCTTATGCAGATTTGTCAACAGTTACCCAGCCAGTGGCCACTTGCAAACTGGAGAGTACTCAGTGTTTTCCCTAAGTCTGACAATTCATGTACCCCCAGTAACAGTAGAGTTGGTGAGACATAAGAGTAGGCCAGTTTAAGACAGTACCCAATGGCCATGGAAGATAAAAGGGTTTAAATGTCACATTTAAGAGATATCTGCTAATGGATTTACAAAAAGTTCTAACTCATCTTTTTCATAATTATCCTGTTGTGATTATTTGACCCATGCTTGTTTGTTTCTTCAGCTTTGTCTCCTCCAGACTCAAAGCTGTAAGTCTACCCAAGATGAAAATGCCTGGTATCTACTGAGAGCCTTTAGATAGAACCTCTGGAGAGTATCTCTGACAGCCGGTTCAAAACTATGACCCCTTTCAGCCTGAAGAAGCCAGAGTGGTCATCACCCACAATTCCCTCACCGCAGTTCAGGTTACTTCTTCAGAGGGGGGAATGCTGCAGGTAGCTGAGTTACACAGAAATATTATAGGCAGTCAGGCAGGGCCAGGCTCTCGAAAGAGATACCACAGAAGTTCAGATATTTTGCAACTATGGAAGGGATGGATGCTCCCACTGTGGGCCAGACCTAAAGACCAAAGATCAAACAAATGCCGATCTCCCTAAAGATTGGCATCCGAGATTGATCATCACCCTGAGGGAGACCCAAGAATCATTAATCCAACTACTACTGGATGGCTACTTCATAAAATCCTGTTCTACACTCATGCCCACTTGCTACATGACTCACTTCCCAATTTGGTCCTGGACTTAATCAATTTTACCTGAGCAGTGGTGCTTATAACCCCATTGGTTAACCATAGTTTTGTCCTACCTCCTGCCCACCTAAACGAGTTCCCATTCTCACCACCTTAGCCCCACATGGTTTTACACTATAAAAGTCCCTGGAAGAGAAAGCTTCCCAGGAACAACCCACTTGGGCCCCCCTCCTGTCCCTCTCTCAGACAGGAGCTTTCTTTCCCCCAATAAATATATTCTGCTCATTAAAAAAAAAAAAGTCTGAAAAGCCAGTCTCAGAATGGAAGAAAATGCTGGAAATCACATATTTCATAAATGACTTACAAGAGGGATGGGGAGATGGCTCAGTAGAATAAGTGCTTCCCTGGCAAGCGCAAGGGCCTGAGTCCAATCCCTGGTTCCACCAAAAATAAAAATAAAAATAAAAATGGCTTACAGGAAGTTATTACCACTCAACAATAAAAGAGCAAACAACCTTATGTTACAATGAGTAAAGAATATGAACATTTTTATAAAAAAGACATGAATGAATAAGCGCTTGCCCGGCAAGCACAGAGTCCTGAGTTCAATCCCTGGTACTGCAAAAAATAAAAATAAAAAAATAAAAAAGACATGAAATCCCAGCTACTTGGGAGACTAAGGCAGAAGGATAAAAAGTTTGAGACCAGCCTGGACAATTTAGAAAAATTGTTGCACTTTGAGGCATGGTGATACATGCCTGTAATCCTGGTGCTGAGGAGGCTAAAGCAGGAGGATTGCCAGGTTCAAGGCAGCCTGGGATACATAGTAAGATTCTGTCTCTGAAAAACAAAGAAAAGGAAAGTTAAAAGAAAAGAAAAGAAAATTCCTTTGGAAAATAAAAGGGCTGGGATGTAGCTCAATAAAGAGCACTTGTAGGGCTGGAGAGATGGCTCAGTGGTCTAAAGCACCTACTTAGAACAAGCTTGGCAAAGCATCAGGGACCGCGGTTCAATCCCCCAGCACCAC